CCGGGTTGGCCCCCCGGGTGCCAGCAGTGCCACGGCGGGTGCGGGCAGCCTCCAGCGAGGCCACCTCACCGCGCCTCCTCCCCACTGAGCACCGGCTGCAGAAGAGCAGCTCCTTCAGCCACGGGGACGCCGAGCCCGTTGTCCGGCACCGCCGCTCTGGCGCGCCCCTGGAGATCCCGGTGGCCCACCTGGAGGCCCAGCGGCTCAAGGAATCCCCATCACTCTCGGCCCTCTCTGATGCCCGGCCTCCAGTACCACCAGACGCCCCCGGCCCGCCGACACCCTCCGTGGTGGAGACCGCTGTCCCCCGAGCTCCCGCTGCCAGGGCTGCCCTGGGGAGCAGGCGCATCCCTGAGGAGCGCAGCCAGCCCGGGGCCAGCATGGCCGCCACCACCATGGGGAAGAAGCCCACAGCTGGGGGGCAGGAGGAAAAGACGCCCACCAAGGCCGCTGGAGCCAGCGGGGAGGGGGCTGCCAGGATGGGAGCACCCACCACACCACAGCCCCTGGCTCCCAGCACCCAAGCCCCCAAAACGTCTTCCTACGCCAAGGTCATGCAAGCCATGGGAGCTGTGCGAGGCGGGGAGCCAGCCACCGAGGAAGCCCCCCGGTCCCCGCCGGCCACCCCCACTGAGCCTCCCCCAGCAGCACCAGCACCAGCACCGGCATCGAGGAGGGAGGCGAAACCCGATGGCTCCTCCAGCTCCCTGCTCATCCAGGACATCGACTCGGAGGAGGTCTTCGAGGCCAAGTTCAAGCGGGGCCGGGAGTCATCGCTCAGCCGGGGGCTGAAGCTCCTCACCCGCTCCCGCTCTGAGGACCGGCACCTGGCTGGCCCCCCAGCCACCGACGAGGGCATCTACCGTCCCACACCGGCTGGTGTGCCCTTGGAGCTGCGCAGGGACCGGCCCACCGGGCTGGCAGCCAAGTCCATGTCGGTGCAGGACCTGCACGAGGTTGAAAAGGACAGGGGCTTCCTCCGGAGGATGTCCGTGCTCCTCAAGCGGACCCCGCCTGCCGAGAGGAAGAAGAGCAGGGGGCAGGATGGAGGCAGTGAGACCCCAACCAGCGGCCGCCGCTTCTCCTGGAGCCTGGCCCTGGGTGGCTCCAAGGAGCGGAGGGACTCGGAGAGCCTCAAGTCGGAGCCAGTGGGTGGTGGGGAGAGCGATTCGCCAGTGGTGGCCGTGCGGAGGAAGATCAGTGCCACGATGGAGCGGGTCTCTGCCCGGCTGCGCAGCCTGTCGGACGAGCGGCCGGAGGGCGAGGGGCCCGGGGAGCTCCGCCGTGCCAGCTCCGAGGGGGAGAGCCTGCGGCCAGGGCCTCCGCCAGTGCCTGCACCCTCCTCTGAGTCCCTGCGCTCAGAGGGAAGCACCCGCTCCTCCGTCTCCACCAAAGGTGAGCGGCAAGGGGGGGTTCCACTGGCACCCCGTGGCCCAGCCGCCCTGGGTGCAGCGGGCTCAGCCACCCTGGCTTGGCCCCGCTCTCAGCTGCCCCGGGTGCCCGCAGGTGGGGGTGAGAGCCAGAAGCGGTCCCGCTGGGAGCGTTGGGGTCTCTCGCGGAGCAAGAAGGAGAAGGTGGCCTCCCAGCCCAGCATACCCTCCAGCCTGCTGCGGGAGGAGGGACCTGCTGCCGGCCGGCCACACGCGCCCAGTGAGTCGGGTAGGTGCAGCCCCGGGACAGGGTGGCAAGTGCCCGTCGCTGCCCCAGCCTGACCCCCGCTCTGCTTTCCAGATTTCCCCCCTGTTTTCCACATCAAGCTGAAGGACCAGGTGCTGCTGGAGGGCGAGGCGCTGACCCTCTGCTGCCTGCCCGCCGGCAGCCCGACCCCCAGGATCATCTGGATGAAAGGTGGGGGGCTGCCTGTGCTGCCTCGGTGGGTGAGCGCCAGGGCAGGCACTGTAGCATCCCTCACCTCTGCTCCCCCCCCACAGACAAGAGGTCCCTGCAGCCGGACAGTGCACTGAACGTCGTCTCCTGCAAGGACGGCCGGCAGATGCTCACCATCACCAAGGTGTCCAGGAAGGATGCGGGGCTGTACGAGTGTGCAGCCGCCAACGCCCTGGGCACGGCCATCAGCTCCTGCACGCTAGCTGTGGCACGTAAGGATGCGAGGGAGGGACCTCAGGGGACAGAGGTGCTGTCCCACGGGGGGAGAGCATGTGCCAGGCATGCACCCCGGGGCTGGGGACCGGTTGGAGCAGGTCACTCGATCTCCACATCTGCAAGAGACTGGAACTTCTGAGGGGGGACAGGCTGGTTTTACCCGGGCACCTCCAGCATGTCCAAGCCCACTTGTGCTGTCCTCACCCTGCAGCAGCTCTGCCCTGCCCCTGGCTGAGCACCCAGCCCACCCAGATGTCTGTCCCCTCGCAGGGCTGCCCGGGCGGCCGGGCACACCGGAGATCCCCCAGAAGTACAAGAACACGGTGCTGGTGCTGTGGAAGCCTGCGGAGAGCAAAGCCCCCTGCACCTACACGCTGGAGCGCAGGCTGGATGGTACGTGGGGCTGCCTCCCATTCCCCAGGAGCTGCATCCAGAAAGATGGGCTCACACAGGGACACCAAGCCAGGACAAAAGTTCCCAATGTCCTTGCTGTCCCCTGGGGCTTGGCAGGGTCCTGGGTGGGGGATGGAGGGCTGCCCCCTGCCCGCGGTCTGCCCTCATCTCACCTTGCCCCTGTGCCGGCAGGAGAGCACGAGTGGAAGATCGTCAGCACCGGCATTGCCGACTGCTACTTCAACGTGACGGAGCTGCCCCCCAGGAGCACCGCCAGGTTTCGGGTGGCCTGCGTCAACAAGGCCGGGCAGGGGCCCTACAGCACCCCCTCGGGGAAGGTGCACCTCGATGCCGCAGGTGAGCGAGCCCTGTCCCATGGGGTGTGGGGCAGCCGTGGGGCCAGCTGTGGGGCTGAGCCCTCTGGGATGCTCTGGGGGTCCTCGAGTCCCAGGGGATCTTCACTCCAGGGGTTTGGGGAACAGGGTGCTGCTTGCACCCCGTTCCTGGCTTACCCACGCCTGGCTCATACCTCCCTTTGCTCCTTGCAGATGCCCGAGCTGCCTCAGCCAAGGACATCGCTGTCCCTATCCCCGTCCCCATCCCCGAGAAGGTGGCTTCCAGCCGGTCAACCCAGACACCCGTGGGGCAGCTGGAGCCACCGGCTATGGGAGCCACCCCCACCACGCCACCCCGCAAGCAGAAGGGAGTGGTGCAGAAGGCAGATGGGGCGGTGGAGGCGGACGCCCCCCCCGGGGTCCTCCAGCCCCCTGTGCCCCACGAGGAGGGGCCACGGCCGGACCCCGAGCTCCCGCCTGACATCACCATCTGCGTGCCCCCGGAGCTGATGTTCACCCCGCC